GCCGTAGAGTGCAATGGATATGGCGCTTCTTCTGGGTTAGCAGTTGCAATTGTACGGCCATATTCAATACCGACTCTTGCGTCCCCATTCGGGCACTCTGGACAACGTGGGTAACACACGTACGAGATACGCTAACAAGTCCGTGCGGAGCCTTGGCTAGCGGCAGAGAGAGAAGTGATGAAGAAATAAGCTTCGCTTGGAATTTCAAAGTGGCGTCAGTTGGCACAGAAAAAAAGGCCTGGCGTGCCTTATTGGACTCCGCTAGATGCTCTTACGGTTCTATAGCGCCAATCTAAAAGAAGAAGTGGCTGCTATTATCTGACTGAGGCATCTAAAATATCAATACATACATATAGAGAGCAATTCTGGCTAAGATAGTAAAAAGTCTTTCGTAAGACGAATGAAAGACAGATGACAAGATAATTCTCGCACAGCGGAGTTTTTTTCTGTTTTTTTAATCCAAATTTTTTTAATTTTTAATTTAATTTTTCCATTGTTTTTTTAAAGGATATATATATTTTTTAAATTTAATTTAACCTTTAGAAATTTATTTATGTACTTTTTTTTAATTTAATAATTTTTTATTAAATTTTTTTAATGGTTTAGTTGTTATTGTTTTACAAAGAACATTATTTTAATTTCATTAAATTTTTTGGAGCTTACTTTATTTTTTCAGTTTTAAATAATTTTTTTTAGTTTAATTTTCTTTTAGTTTTTTAGATTTTATTGTGTAAGAAAAAAAATACTTTTTAAATTTCATTTACTCTTTAAAAATAAATTTTTTTTATTTTTTCTTTAAATAACTTTATTTTTTTATTCTTTTTTGATTTAATTTTGTTTGTAAATTTTATTGTTTTAAAAAGAAAAAAATATATATATTTTATTTTATTTAATTTTTAGAATATTATTATTGTTATCTTTTTATCGTATTTTTTTTTATAAACACCTTTTTAAGTTAATTTAATTTTTAAATATAATTTCCTTCTATTTTGATAAAATTCTTTTCTTTTTCTAATTTAATTTTCTTTTATTTATTAATTTTTATTGATTTAAAAAGAAAAATATATAAAAATTTTTTAGTTTAGTTTAATTTTTAAAATACTTATTGCTAAAAGGCGAGCAGCATTGCTAAGACCTTCTCGTTAGCAAATCTTTCAATTAGTCTTTCGAAAGGCTTACTTTCAAGAAAGTTGCCAGAATTGCCCTGATAGCCTTGATAATGGTTTTTGACGACAGGAAAATTTAATTTTTCAATGGCTCGGCCCTTTTTATGCTGGCTTTGATTGACCCACCGTTTTGTGGATTAAGGAAAAAATCGTCAGACATTTGTCAAGGACCTTCCGAAGTTTTCCCGCTAAAAGTTAATACCGCAAATACATATGTTTGGTAAAGTTGTATTGTGTCTGCTAAAGGATGTTTACTTTCATTGACGACCTCAATTTATTATGTCATTGGTCCATGTAACACACATATGGAACTGTTTTTGTCCTACACAAGTTAATACAACTCCAAAAAAAAAAATAGAATACAAAAACAATTCAGTAAGTGGAATTTTATTTCAGCAGTCAAGGGATTACATAAGAATGATATGTTGCTACAGATAACGTTTTCATTGCAAGGTTATCTAAGAGCGTGTGTGAATCGGTAACAAAGTTTGCTGCGAGTAAATTTTTGACAAGTATGAGGTGAATAAAATTTCACTAGCTCATGAGGTTAGTGAAATGTTTGACAGATGTATAGAAAATTTTGACAACTGCAAAGATTGTTGATGTGTATAATTTTTCTGCCCCACATTTAAGCAAAACAATAAAATATTAGGAAATGGAGTTTCTGGTGGCAAAAATGAATAGTATTGCATTGTATTAAATATTTCTTGTGAATAAATTTATTCAATGTTCCACAAGCTTTAATTGATGAAAAGCTTAAATTGATGAATTGCAATCAATGATATTTAATTCACTTCAATTTATACTATTTTTTTCTGTGGTTGTTAAAAATTTACTGCTGTCAAAAAAGATTTCATTTCACACAGTAGATTTGCAAAACTGTCTCACCATACAAAAAATATGATTCACCAGCGTTCCCCACAGAACTTTGTTACCGATTCACACGCTCGCCAAATAGGTATTAAAATTACCATCTATACGAAATGTGTTACAAATTAGAAACAAATCTTAATATGGATATCGAATGAAAGGTTTTTTAAAAATCTACAATTAAGAAACATTTTTGAACAGGTTTGCCAACTATTTTAAATCGCATATTTATAAATTTTTTTTTTTTTGAAAATAAAGGTACATTATAACCATTCATGGATACCAAAAGAAGGCTATTAAACAATGCGTTGCCTATATAATATAGGATATTAGTGTAAGTTTGCTACTTATTTTCGATTCTACAAAATTTAATTAAAGCATCGCAATATGGATATCAAATGAAAGCTATTTTTGAGAATTTCAGTCCGAAAATATTTTTGATGAGGGCTGCCACGTTTTTTTTTAATACACATTGTATTTTGTTAATTTCAATCAGCATTTTTACAAAACCGCATATCGTGGTTCTGTAAAACGTCGTAACTGACATTTGTGCCAAAAACAAATATATTTGCTCACCAGATGGAAAAAACCTACCAGTTTTGGTAGGAAAATCCCATGTGTGGCAACACTGATGCGGACATACATAAAATCATAAACTATTGCAGCGCTTGTTTAAAAAAAAAAGTTGTTTAATAGCCTTTTCTTTTCGTGAATGCCATTTGATTCTATGATTTTCAACTATGCTTCAAGCATCACTGAAACATCACAATTTTTGTTTTAATAAACCGAAAGCAAAACTAATTTCCGTTTATATAGCACAAAAGAACAATTCGAATAGAACAAAGAGGTGCATATTTCCCATTTGTTCACTCTCAATTTATGCAAAGGAATATATCGTACATTCGTACGTTTTGAGATAATACGAAAAATTGGCAAATAAATGCCAACAGAACTAATCTAACGAATCTAGGGAGTAAGCTATCATATTACCTATCATACATACATGTGTACATATAGCATATGCATACATACATACATCCATTATACTAAAAATATTCACCTGAGCAAATGTAGATTTAAGTATGCACGTATGCTTGCTCACATTCACTTACTCGCCGGAACATATAGTTACATATGTATGTATATGCATATACCATTTCATACATACATATGTACACTTTTACTTTGCACTTTGCATTAGAATTGTGAGAGTACTCATGGGTCGCCACTCGATGGTCCACAGCACGGACAGGAGCATTGCAATATATGCATACATACATACATATGTATGTAAGTACAGAAGTTTAACTCTGTAATCCGTTGCTTTTAGTTGCAATGAAAGTAGCGGAAGATGAGAAGAATCCTTTTGGTATTCTTTGTGATGAACTACATATGGAATAGTAATTGAAAAAGAGCAAAGCGAGGCACGGGTGGTTTAAAAGCACAGCACAAGCATCAGCGAAAGAAGTGAATTGAAGAGCAGCTTTACTGGATTGGTAGTCGCTATTTAGATTCATATTTGATATTCGGTTGCAAATATGCAAATATGTATGTAAGAAGAATTGTCTGCTTTTACTCTTAATATTGAATTACAAATACCTATGCGTGCAGTGTAAATGTAATAAGAACTATTTATATCACTTGGAAATATGAAAAGAATTTCGTCACGTAAAAGGAAGTCGAAAGCAAAAAAATAAAATAAATAAAAAAAGGAAATTTAAAACGCATGGATAATGGAGTGTTCAATAAAAGTGTGTTTAGCAGATATCAGAGGCCCACACGCATATAAGAAATCTCTGCTGGAATTACAAAAGAGTTTAAACATAAAATTCTCTTACATTGGCCCCTATAAACTGTATAAAATAACTTTCGCCACATTAAAAACCAGAAATAAAATCAAATACGATTATGGATTATAGCTCAACTGGTCAGTTAGCGGCGGTTGGTTGGTTGAGAGTAAATTGGCCAAATCCAACGGATGATGCAGGGTAATTATATAGAAAAGGATACAGATAGAGTCACGGAGACTCAATCTGGGAAGTATTTCGAGATTTTAGAGATTTTCGGTATTCTCGGTATTAAATAAGGATTTTCATGATTATTTCGGTATTCTCGGACCATTTCCATATTTTGGGGACTATTTCGGAGTTTTCGTAATATTTGTCGATCTTGTGGTCGATATTGCTTTCGATATATTTATCGACTATTTCGTAGTTTTCGTTATATTTATCGATCTTGTTATCGATAGTTATAATAATCGATATTTTTATTAATATCTTTATCGATATTGTTGTCGATGTAATAATCGATATTATTATTGATATATTTATGAACATATTTATCGATACTGTTCTCGATATTGAAATAAATATATTTATCGAATGCTGGGACTTTTAAACTTATACATTCGCAAGCCTACTCTAGTAGAAGATTTTGTGGGTTTTAGTTTTCTTCCTCAACTTTTAATTCTATGGGAATAATGTTTTGCTAGCCCGGCCCTTGAAGTTAAGGATTAACATTCGAGAACAAATAAATAGCACGAGTGCTAGTCCAAAGGTGAGCGTGACGACACTGATATGTGGATTAGAATAAGAATTGTGTAATACAAAATAGCAAGCAGTGAAAAAGGCGAATGAGGCAATGCAAAGAGACCAACACAGCATACTTTTGAGCGCAATGCATGACTGACCGCATTCTCACGCAAAACCACATCGCACAACGCAGCGGCGTTGCACATGCCAGCGGGTTGGCATGTTGCAAGATAGATAGCTGCAGTACTCGACTTTTTATTTATTTTTTCGTTTTTCCTTGGATTGTGTAACGAAATTCAAGAGTATGCAGCACAACACAAGATGCTCGACAGCACAAAAAAAAATAAATAAAAAAATATGAATGCAGGTACTATCTGTGAGCAAGTACACTCGTATGATTACATGAGCATGTGGTTGAGTGCATTTCACTTACCGGAAGTGCAAAGCAAAACGATTGCTGAATAAGCGATAAATCCAGAAGTGTATGATGGTGAGCACACCGACGCGGTGGAGAAGGCGGACGACGGCGACGGCGGCATGCTGTTGCTGTTGCTGTTGCTGTTGCTGTTGCTGTTGCTGTTGCTTTGGCTGCAGTTTTCACTGTTTCCTTAACTCAGCAATAGTGATGAGGGCTTTAGCTTTACTTGCTGCCACTTGCCACTTGCGTCTGTATGTGTGGTATGGTCGTATGTGCAGCTCTCTATGTATGTTTGTATTTTTTGGGTAGCCCGTATTAGCGCTGAGTAATAGTTGCTGCTTCAGCAGTGGCAGCTGCATGCCATGTGGCGCGTTGATATTCAAATAAGCAAAATGAAGAACGACTAAGCAAAAGGAGCTGCCGTTTTAAATGTACGTAGTCAAAGCTGCACATTTGTGTCACGTACGTATGTACGTCGAGTAGCGTGTTTGTGGTTGTATCGGTGGTGTTTTCTTCGTTGTTTGCTCTTCTGACTGTTGAATGCTGCCTGCTGCTTGCTGGCAATGACAGTGACACTCAACAACCGCAGCTAGAAGTGGCACTTGCCACTTGTTTACCACACTGGGAGCCTGCGTGCGTGCTTGCGTGCGGGCTGCAATGGGCAGGCGTTAGGCGGGTGCGCCAGCAGCCGAATGCAATAAGCAGGCAGTCAAATTGACTTGTATGATTTAAACAACTGTCAGCGTGGTACACTTGCTGCTCGCCTGCGTGCTTTGCGTGATGACTGCCCCACCCACAAACGCTGAGTCGAGTGCGTGCGTCGTTCGCCTGCACTAGTCTTATAATCTGTATGTATTTGCGCGCTGTGTGCACTTCATTTGCACTTACCGCAAATCTGTAGCAAACACACAAGCACATAGACAGAGTAAGAGGCAATGAAAGAAGAAATCACTTTTTAGTTTTCAGTTTTCAGTTTTCAATTTTCACTTTTCCATCTACATTTAGTACTCAACACTTTTGCAGCCTAACACTCAGCTGAAAAAAGTCGTCTTGCTATGCGCACAGCAAATGCAATCAATGTGTGAATTGGTTTCCAGTTGCAAATGCTGTTTACTTACGCCACGCAGTTGTTGTTTTTTTTTTTGTTGTGTTTACCTTTTTTGTTTGTTCACTATTTACACTACATTCTCGAAACGCGGTGAGGCACTCAGTTTTTATTTCCGTTTGCCACGAAAATGATTCCTCGCAGCAAAAGTGCGCCAAAGCCGGACGGACACTAAAATCTGACAGCAAGCCTTGTGTGCATAAAGCTTTTCCTTTACACTAACAACAAATCCACACTTTTAAACGATATATGCCGAAAGCGCCGAATGAGCGCCGAAAGGACTATGCAAATGCCAGGCGCGCGTTGCAAGAACTCAACTCCTTTCACATGCAAATTTTAATTTCCTCTTCTTGCTTCCTACGACTTTGATGTGGCGCGCTGATGGCAGCGCGTGGGCGCTGAGAAGGATTGAGGAGTGGTGTGTGATGATGAGCAAGGGGATGTGTGGAGGTTGGGTAGCGTTTCTGCATCTGCCACAAAAACGCTGTTGATGAAAAGTGAATGGGTTTGCTGTTTCTGCTGCTGCTGCTGCGGCTTCTCAAATACTTGTGCACACTAATGTTGCCGCAATGCTCGCTGGCTGTTGTTGTATATCAGTTGCACTTGCATGGCTATGACAGCAATGGACACAAGTTGCATGCTTCATTTCCGCCAATATTTTCATTTCTTTTTCTGGGCACACCGCTGCCGCACAGTGGGCAGGCAGCACTGCTATGCAACTTTGGCGCCACAGTCAATAACTTTGACAGCGTTTTTTTTTATTTCCGATTTTCTACTAGTCAGCAGCTAAAGGAGTTTTTTGAAGCGCCAACCACCACAAATGCACTCGTTCGATTGCGCTTTTTCGGCTGACTTTTCTTCTACATTCTCTTCGTTTTCTACAATTTCTGTTTACGTTTTTCTGCTTTTCATACCTTCCTCAGTCTGCCATTAATGTTCAGTGCGGCAAGCTTTGCTTTGTTGTTGCTTTTGCTTTTTGTGATTGCCGGCTATGAAATCGCAGCTGCTGCAAATTTGCTTTGTAGCCACATCGACAGCTGCTGCCATGCCGGTGGCGTTTGACCGCGATTGCACCGCTACAAAGAGGGCAACTTGCTGTGCGCGTGAAAATTTGTGGTCAGTTGTGGGTGCGGGAATTTCAAACTTGACTGCATACGATTTTTTCACTGCTCACTAACGCGGCGCACAAATTCACAAACGGTATGCATTTAGAGAGCGAGGGGAAAAAAATCACTAAAAATCTACAAATAACAAAGTAAAATCTGAATGCAGTTATCACTCGCGCCTAAAAGGCCAGCTGTCACAATTCACGTCACGATTTCCGTTTCGCATGTCCTGTTGGCAGTGCGAACAACGTCAAACTGAATTTTTCATTGCCAGTCGAAGCCGACAAAGGACCCTGTGGTCCGCATACAAACAGAGGGACGTGAAAGTTAAAGCAAAATATGGGTTTTTAGCTGCGTTCTTGGCATATCCCACTATTGTGCGCCTAAAAGCGCGCTACGCTCACTTACTTACCCTGCTTCGGCTTTCTGTCCGTGCTTGCGCTCTTTTTACTCTCCCTCTTTGCTCGTTTTTTCTCTCATATCTCACTCATTTTTCGCCTAACTGCGCTCTTATACGGTTTGTTTTGATTTTGCACGCTGCCAAACCGCAACTGACAGCCGAAACCGTTTGTTATCACAAGCCGCTGTGGCTCCGCACGTCGGTCGCCAATCATACACACACATAACACGCGGCGCGGCAACCGGCTCGTGTGCTGGCATTATCCTCGTGCGAGCACGTTGCCTTTTGGTCGCCACCAGCCAGTGAGGCAGGCAAGCAGCTGTTGGCAGTTCCGGTACAGCGCCTGCGTCATACCCAATTTCGTTTTCAGCGAATTGCAAAGCGTTGCGTACACGTGCCGCCGCACGCCGCCACGTAGGTTGGGTGGGAGGCTAGAACTTGCAACTTTGTGGCTGTGACTGTGACTGTGGCTGTGATGTTGGGCGCAATCCTTACGCCTGGGTGCGTGAGAGTGTCTCAGCTAAGCGATTGTGTCAGAGTGGGTGTGCGTGTGTATGTGTGCGTGTTTTTTTGCTATTGTTGTCTGCTTGTTTTTGCACAAATATATGTAAGTATTTCTAAATGTCTGTTGGTGCGCTTAGCAGCGCTTCATTTGTGTGTGTGTGTGTGTGCTTGTTGGCTGCTTAGCGTAGGCGCTGGCCGGATCTTATTGGTGCGCCTGCAGGCCTCATATTTTTGTGTCTTGTTTTGTGTTTTTTTTTTTTGTTTTTAGATTCTCTTCATATTCCCATTTTGACATTCACATTTTATTTGATATGCTTTGTCTTACGCTTCATTTTGTGGCCATAATAGTTGCGTTCACACATACGCACACATACATAGATGTATTTGAATAGCTTGGCGGAATTGTGTGTATGTGTGTGTGTTGCTTTTCGTTATCCTCTGACTTTGCATTGGCAAATTTCGCTCGATTTTATAAGCGTAAATTAGATTGTCAGCGTAAATTGTTAGTCACTGTTGCTGTTGCAGGCACTGCCACAAACACAAACTTTGGCTAAATTCAATTTGAAAGATTTTTATCTGATTTTAGTTGCACTTTAGCACAGCACAGAGATACAGAGTACAAAACAAAAAAATATCACTCATACGCCCCAACGCTTAGTTTTCGTGTGGATATCGCAAAAACCGTTGGGGTGAATCAGCTACCACCTTTGTACCACCGTAAATTAAAGCATTTGTTTGAAATTTAATGCAACACAAATTACTCAGGCCAAGTGCTGCCTTTCATAGAACTGAATCGAATTAAATTGAATAACTGAATCGTGTAATTGTAGTGTTGCGCGCGAATTATGTACACGAATGTGCAGCAACCGCGTTAACCAACACTATAATTTCCTATTCAACACAAACTCAATTGAAAAATGCACCATTTCCCGGCGCGTGCCTTTCGAATATAAAACAAACGCTAACCAAAAGCAATAATTTAAATTACATTATATTTATTTTGGTTGTAAAAACAACAAAGCATAGGCTATAAAATAGCAGAACGGCTAACAGCAACATTATCTATTTCAACTAAACGTAAATGCATAGCAATGCCACTGTGTGCAGATTTAACTGCCTACTAAGTGAAAAAAAGGTTAAGGTTTCTGAGCAACCCATCATAAAAAAAAACACAAAAAATAATTCTCACAAAAAAATACCCCTTTAAAACTGTGCAACTTGAGTTGGGGTTTACTTGCATAGCGCAATTTAGTCGGACGATACACGAAGCACCTTACAAATTCTTTAAATTCCTATCTATAATCTTTCAGAGCTTTAAATTCGATCGTATCAAAAGTGAAAATACATAAATAGCTGAAGGTTTGTATCCGCATAAAAGAAAAACAGTGTTGCCCTACAAAACAACTAAACAATGAGCGGCCTTAAACTCGCACTGAAAAAACTGGCCAGTAGTTTAAACTTAGTTGAAATTTAAACTGAGTTTGACTAAACTTCGTTTAAACTGACTTTACTTTATTATTTATTTGTTACTCTTCCAAATTATATTGAACCCGATTTCGTATGATACGAATATCTATTTTAGTATAGATAAAACTGTTCAAAATTATATCGAAAAAGTATTGTGTGAAAATATTTGCTCACTGCGCTATCAGTATTTGTATTGATCGATATATTTATTGGCAATTTAATACCAAAAGGAAATGATTGTCAAACTAAAATCCATTGATTTTCGATTTCGATTCTAAAAAATTAGTGCAAAGAATTTCGATAAATATATATAAGTATTTAAAAGGATAACGATAAACGTATTAACTAATATAAATAATTATCTATCGCTATTTTTGTATTTATTAATTGTCTTTCTTTGTGTCCGTGCCGAATTCTATTTTTCCTACTTTGTAAACACTTGCCAGCTTTCCTTCTCGCCTGCTTCACTGTGCAGTGCGGAAGTTTAAAGCTTTTGCTTTTCAAGTGTACGCCCACAAAAATTAGCATAATTAGCGGTTTCAATTGCCGGATTTTTTCACCAGCTTTGCTATATTTTGTTCTTTTTTTTCAAAGCATTTTAAATAAAATTAGCGATTATTTTCAACTAACCGCAGCGTTGGAAACAGCAGACGAGCAGCTTTTAGATTTTGGAATAAAACTTTTCGCTCGAAACTCACACATAAATATGAGCAATGGAGGTGGGCCCCCCAACATAGTTACAAATTCACAACTTTCATGAATAACTATTTACATACATATGTATGGATATGTACATATGTATGTGTGCATGTACATATGTATGTTCGAATGTTGATGCTTCCAAAACAACTGAAGCATGTAAGTTTGCAACAATAATGGAATTGTTTATTTACAATGCTAAATTGTGGTTAAACATTGCTTTTGCATGCAAATATTGCCCAATTTTCATACACACATATAATGATGGATATATATTTTATTATGAAAGTGTAAAAACGTTTTTTACTAGTATATGTATGTATGTCCAGCTCTTTCTGGCTTTTGTTTCAGTTTCGCTTGCATATTTGTGTTAGATTTATTTCTGTGGCTGAAAAACTACATTATTTTAATACATGTCTGTATATGTATATGTATATGTATATATGTCGGCTTTTTTGAAGCATTGTAGCCGATATTAAACAATTACTTTGTTATGAGAAAAATTTTAAAAGCCTCAGAAAAAGTCTATGAAGCAAATAAAAATTGATCTTTAATAAATTTACTTACTGCAATTAAAAATATTTTATTATTTTTATCTCGATACGTGCATTTAGAAGAAGAAAACAATTTTGGTCAAGTACTTCAAATATATGTACATACATGCCTAGTTACTTTCTCGAATACTTACGTTGCTTGGAGATATCGTTAGCTTAGAGTGAAAACTTGCTGAAGCCACTTTTTGTGAAAACTCAATTTCTACAGTAGGAAGTAAGAGAAATTAAAAATGCATTGTTTACAAAAGTATTACGGTACTTGTTTTATTTATATTTTTCATATTGGGCTATTGGTACAAAATAAAAAAAAAATTGGGACGACAATTTTTTTTTTTGTAGTCGCACGATTGGTACAATACAGCGAACTTCTATTGAAAAATTTGTGATTACGATTTGCACCAATTTGCAACTTTTCACTCTTAGTTAACGATAAGATTTTTGTTTAAAATTCTAGAAATAAATATAACTTAAAACGTATTCTATTTTAGTGATGTGCCGAGATAAATTTCCTCCAAAAGAAGTCAATCACCCAAAGAAAGAAATTATAGATTTAACACTTTGCATAACTACAAGAACATCTGTGCGATTTTATCTCAGTAAGAACTCTAAATTTATAGGCAAATAAAAAATATTTTTCAACAAAAACAAAATTCTTAACTTTTCTACGTCAAACATGTTTTATTTTCTTACATTCAATTTTGTTTTAATCTTGTAAAATCCGTCTATTAAGCTTTGTCGTTCTCATAACGCGGCAGTCTGCGATTTCGGCATGACGAAAAAAGGAACCGTGAATCTTCGAAAAAGTCGCTGCAGAAAAATCGCATAAATACTAATTCGCCCAAGTGTGTGGATGCCTTAATCCTTTAATAATTTTTAAGATAACAAAACTATCCAGAAGATTTCGATTTTTATTCACTCAGCTTCACACTGTACTATGAAAAACTATGTTTCTATCAATCATCATTTGTGAAGCATCCACCCTGCGAAATTATTCATTATGTACGTATATATGTATGTATGTATGTATACCTGTTACTGAAAACATTTTATTATACATAAATATATGATATTAAATATTGAAACAACAAATATTTACTTATTTCTAATTATACCTATTTAAATGCCAACATCGCTGAGTGGCAGCAACACTGTGCTACAAATGTTATGAAACATAATTAAATGGGTTTACAACTACATATAGCTATTTATGAATGTGTACAGTTATCATTTCAAATGACACCAACAAGAAGAAACATTTGTATATTCTGTAAATATTACGCTATTACATATTTTATGTACATTGTACAATAAAATACCGACATACATATGTATGCGAAAATTCAAATGGAATTATAGTTAATACTTAGCTAAATTGAATATTTATTTTTGAAATGTTATGCCATTTGCTTTGTAATTATGTAATTATAGGTTTATTTATATGTTTATAGGTTTTGTTAATTTATTGAAGTTTACACAAATATTTACATAAGTACTTATACATATCTGTATGTAAATAATAAATGCATTCAACTCAGTGTCACATCCAGTTGCTTAGATGAGAATACGAGTGTATATTAGACTGGGTCGAAAAAAAAAGTTGCTAATGTCCGCCC